CCAAGAACGTTTGAAAGTGATGAACTAGGAATATTTTACCTTTATACATCTTAATCGAGGTCTCCAGAGGTGGATAATAAAGGTTGAAATTTTATTTGATACTAGAATTATTGAATTTGGGTTATTGCACTTGCAGTTTTCCAATTTATTAGGTATTTTTTACAAAATTAATATTAACATTTTTATCGCGATAGGAATATAATTACACACGTAGGTCTATTTGTTTTCATTATTCCATTTTAATTATTAATTTCAATATAGTCAGTAGTTTATATCTAGGTATATATTGAAGGTCGATAGATAGTCTAGTGTTATCTAGTGTTTTGACAACAGAAAAATTGCCAATTAAATGTAGGTAAATTTTTTATTTAAGAAATAGAAATATACGTCTGTTATCCTACGTAGGCTGTAGTATTTATCTGTTAAAAGTTATCTATTTCATCTCGACATTACCAGTGGCTATATTGCATCCCTAAAATCATGTTACAGGTTACTTCTTCAACTCTTATGCATTACTACGCCAAGTGTCATTAAGCCACGATCACCATACACCTAATTATCAATTAATTCTGGGATTTGAAAATGGACTGCAACTCCGAAGAAAAAACACACGTTGAATTTTCAACCAAACTTCAAAATTCTGTCACAGATATATCAGAACTACTTCAGCGAATCTGTAACAGTGATTCTATTACTCTGTTCCAACATTTGGGGTAACACTGAGAGTTTGAAAATGATGGAGGAATGTTCGATAAATCCAAAAACCAACAACGAAACCATACATCTGTTTCTCGAAATCAAGTATCGAATACACGCTCATATTGTGCCATTTTGAAGCTGCACCATGAGAGCGTTCCTCAGAAAAAACCGCAATTGTGGCGCAACAAAAACTGGCTCCAGCAACACGACTCTCGCACACACTTGTCAGCATAACCTTCTCACACACACAACACTTTTGCAACTTCTTAATCTCCGACATAAGACATCGCTTGGAACCCAAAATTCACTCGGTCCACTCACCAAGTCTCTCCAAACGTGTTCTTTTTCATCTGTACCATATATAGGGAGTATGTACAAGCACACATGTACAGTGGATCAAGGAAGTATCGATACACTGTGTAACAAGAAAATTCATGTACCCAGAGAGTTGCGATTCCAGCGAGAATGTGTGCACATGTAGAGTATAATGAGTTCTTGGAGCATGGAGCAATTTTTTCATGGACGGGAAGTCTCTCTAAGGGAGTCAAACAGGTCTCCAAAGTCCCAGCATATTTTCGTGCTTGTATATAATTTTTCCCCTGGAATGTTTTCGCAGTGAGATAACAGGGAATTAAAAATTGTACCAAAAGTTTCGTCGTATCTTGCACTGTGCATCTGCTCAGAATGATGGGGTTTCATTCAACGGTGTGTCACTTTGGCGCTAAACCTACCACGACTGATCAGAATATGTACACGTAAGAAAGTGAAGAAAGAATTAAATGAAAAATGCAAAATTCTCGACAGTTATATAAAAAGAAAAATTGAGGAGTCGAGTGACTATGGAGACAAGGCTGAAAAATTTAGAAACGATCGTTTAGCCTGCTAAGCAGGCACGGAGAACTGAATTTTGGATTACTATAATGTGAGAATATTTTTTCGAAGCACTGGTATACACACCGAGGTCTGTACACGCGTGTACGTGTAACGTAATCATTACTGTCATCGGAAAGCCTGATCCTTTTCTCCGTAATTTCAACCGGTAGAGCGGCGTTGGTATACGCGGCTGAAGAACCCGTAGACACAGACCTCGTGCTACCTGGTGGAATGGGTCTCATTAAGGACGCCTTCACGGCCCTTCATCCTTGGCTCTTCAGGCCTCGCTTCTCCCTCTCAGCCCACGGAGTCGCTCGTCTTTTATACCTGGATGCCCTCTGCTCGCGTTTCTCAGCTCGCTTCTCTGTGTTTGCGTGCGCCTTATGCGGTCGAAGGCCATTTGATGGTGGTTGCTTGTCATCTTCGACTTTAACCTCGTTACGATTTTACAGGCGTTTCTGGAACGAACGAACGAATGAACGAACGCGTATACCGGCTGGTTTTCCTTTAAATTCGGATTTGTTAAGATTTATTCCGGATTTATTCCGCGGTTTCAGGAACCTAAGGTCCGACGTAATGTCGACCCGTGCAGCTCTCTATCCGTGTCCCTCTTCATCCCACTCTTTGCTCCGGTGTACACGATTTCCGGCGTAACGAGATTCCTTCGTTGCCTCTGCACCCTTTAACGAGTTTTTTTCTCTCTCCTGTATTTCGTAAATAGAGTTCCATCGCTGCGGCAGGACTGTTATCGTATCGTCTGTTCGAATTGTGCGAGTCGATAGAAATCTCGCTTGTTAACTCGCCCGGTCTCTTCTTGCTGCGGGGACAAGAACGCGTTTTTCAATACCACAACCGGATGTAATGTGATTTCTGAAGTAGATCCTGTTCGAGACTTTGGGATTCTGCGGTGATTAACGTTGCCTCCGGGATCGGTATTCTTTTCAACGTCGAGTGACGTTCTTAACTCCAGATACTGCGCTAGACGTTCGGTTAAGCTGGAGATACCTATCGTCCTAGATGGCTAACTTCGTCTTTCCACGTTTTCGAATTTTTTCTCTCAATCTCACCAGTTTCCGTCTATATATCCTCGCGTTGAATTGGAATAAATAAATTGACTTTCCGGTGGATACAGTGGTATGCTTCGACATCACGGTTTTCGCGATTTGTTACCTGTAACCGTACCTAACCTCAATTCGAAGTTTTAGTTTCAAGGATTTCTTTAATTCGCAGTTTTAATTCAAAGGATTTCTTTGATGTCTTTATGAGCAGGATTTCATCTATCTGTTAGAAGAAAATTACAATGGTAGATCTTCATTTTCATATGGAGACTTGGAAATTGATAGTTGACGATTACTTAGTTACAAAATGGGGGATTAGTCGATAAGTAATGTCGCTATTTTTAAGACGAAATAGTAGCTATTTATATTATTAATATAAAGAACAATTTTTTGGGTTATTATATATATTACCTAGTTTGATCAATAAATTTTGTGTAATTTCAATTAAAATGTTATATTTAATAGGTTAGGGACACTGTTCAGTATCATTTGATGTAAAATTATTGGTCAACTCGATATATTGTTAATATCAGAACTAGCAACCTGTTATAGCTATTTAAATATCAGTAGTTTAAATATATATTTAAGTATATTATTTAAAATAGTATAATTTAAAATAGTTTAAGTGATGTCAGTTTACGATAACTGGCGACACGAGAAATTTCAAACCAGTTATTTTGACTTGTTCGGTACTGTTAATAATCTAGTGTTAAATATATCACTAGAATATCATTAAAATGATACGATAATAAACTATATCAGTGGCTCGACACGTCCATAAAGTGAAATTTAAAACTTTTAAATCACACGACGTTATAAAGGAGGAAGTAATAGCACTTTCTAACTCCCCATTGTTTTCCATCTTTTATTTGCAATTTAGTAAATTCTCATCTGCATATCTCCATAATAAAACTACTTCTCCAAACAGAATCTTAATTCAAAGTTCCCGTTGAAATCATTTCTTTAATGTCTTTGACGCTACTTTTTAATTCTCCATTCTTACCCTTCTCTGCCCTTTCGGAAAAATAATCTGTTATCTTGTGTTTTTATACTTTACATCTTTCACGTTTCAAACGTAAAGGCCTTTATTTTATATATTTCATATTTTTTTCCACATTAGACCTTCCACCAGACATGTTGAAATCTCCTCTTTATACAGAAAGTTTCGCGCTCTTTGAAATTCCCGCCACTACATAGCTCCATCTTTCTTCATCCAACGCAAACTTAAATCGTTTGTAATTAAGTAAATGTTCCTTATAAATCGTTTATAACTAAAGGTGTATAGACATACCTACGTATAATATAACATAATGTTTCTAGTTAGTGTTTCTAGTTAACCTTTTGCACTCGGCAAAGGATCTTTTCGTTACAGAACATAGTAATTCGAAAAATGTCTGCCATAAAGTCGACGATACTTTCAAAACGGTAAATAAGAAGTGCAAATTAATTGTAAGACGTAGAATAATTTACCTCGATATTCCACGTATTGTTGGGCAATTTTAAATTTGACATATTAATTAATAACGATGTTTAGAATTTGATTAAATGGTGACTGAGAGTCGCTTCTCGAATGCAAAGGGTTAATATAATTAATAGTAAACGTAATAATAGTTAATGTTTCTAGTTACGTGAAATATAGAAAATTATTGCAATTCTTTATTGCAGTAAGCAGAGTAATATACCATAAGCGTAAAACACGCGAGATATTATTAACTCTTTGCACTCAGGAGGCGAGCAAGTTTGTTTTAATGCTATAACATAAATAATGGATGATGATAATTATATTAAGAACATCGAAATAAAATTATTCTATTCGTTCGTTTTTCACTCAAATTCACAATTTTCTTTTTTTAATTTTAGTATGAAGAGTATCAGTGAGCTTATAAAAATCTGAGAAGAGCTTCGAATTGCATCTTCACAGCGAAGAAATTTTTGAGTCCAAAGGGTTAAATAGGCGAAGAAAGGAGAAAAATTCGAATTTTTGTTTATTATCGAGGAGAAAATGAAGGAACAAATATCGTTGCATATATCCGAGAACTTTGCGCCATTATACAACAGTACACATGTATATAACGAACTATACTTCGACTCATGGCACATCCCCTTCGTTAGCCCCATAGGAATAATTACATTTGAACAAATCGATAATCGAGTATCTTAGCGTTCCAAATTACGAAGCGATTAACCACAAAGAAACACATGGAAGCACATCGACCCTCCAGCGGATCGTGTCGTCTCCTTAACCCGTACAACCATAACGCCTGGTCGTTCTAGCTGATCTATTTTTCGTTCTTTGCCGCGGCTGCTTTGTCGTGTATGCTAATCGAATTCTCTCCTCTTATTTCTCTCCTCTCTTTTTTTCTGTTCCAGGGTGGCGGAGGAAGCGGCGGGGCTGCGGGAGGGCTGAAATTCACGGTGGCTGACACTTGCGAGAGGATCAAAGAGGAATTCAATTTCATCCAGCAACAGAACCACTCGTGAGTCTTTCTCTTTTCTTTGACTCGTCTCGTCCTCTCTCGCTTGCTCTTTGTTTTTCTTTCTCCACCGCCCCTCCCCCTCCAGCCCTCTCCACTTTTCTCGTCTATTCATCCCTTCCGTCTCGCGTTCGCGTTTCTCGAAGATCCACGATTATTGACGCCGATGCTACCCTCTGTCCTCCTTCTTCTTTGCTTTTCTTCCATCCCTGTTTCGAGGTTGTCGCGGTGCCACTACCACCACCAACGTCTCCACCACCACCGCCGCCCCTGGTTGACGCTGTTGCGCGCCGATCGCGTCTCTTATCCCGAGAAGAGGAAAGTTGGAATTGTTTGCTCGCGACGTCCTCTACCGTTCTCTAATAACGCGTCGAACCGCCCTAGGGCTAGACCAGTTGCAGAGAGGATACAGGAGTAACCAGAATGATCACTGTCGAGGCTTCTGAAAAGTCGAGGAAATATCCTCTCACCTTCTTAACGCTGTCACGAGTATGTACGCTCCGGCGGACTTAAGACGATTTTCCATTTAACTCACTAGCGCCACCGCTGCTCGTATCTCCGGTACAAGTTTATCGCACGTATCGTGTATATCGGTTAGTTATTTTCTAATTTTACCGATACGATCATCGAAGTTCCTTCTTCCTGTGCGTGTCACAATGATTTCACGAATTTCTTGGTCACCATGTAAGAACTCGCTTTTGTGGTTCTTCAAATTTTATAGTTTGGTGGTGGTCTACTGTGTAAGAGTGTATCTCAAAGAGGATCGCAAATGTAGAATATCGTTGTTAGTGGTAAAATTAAAGGATTCTCAGAAGGATCGAAGGTGAAAAATGATCCTGGATGATTTTTTGAGCTTTCAAGTCCCTCAAGTGCAAATGGTTGGCAGGTTTTAGAATTTCTTTAAGGTCGAGTGTATCCAGAGGGTTAAAATCTTATCTCATCTAATCTTCCACCTTCATATGACGTATGGTGTGCAAAGTATGCATGGTGTGCACTGGTCTACACTGTGTATAGTGTGTAAAGGGTTGGCAATTGTCAGCATTTGTCTAAAAATTGTGGATCCCATCGTAACTCTTCGTATCAGTCATTGTCACGAATAATCTTCCGCTCAAAATCTATCGAAGATCCAAAATTTAGCTTCCCGAAAGGGTACAAATCCTGTACCCTACTGTACCCTATTCGATTACCTCGAATCGTCGATCACATCTTGACCTCCCGCAATATTCGCTGACATGGGTGAGCCTCGAGTGAAAATCTGTCAGAGCTACACAGACCAAGTCCCAAACTCTAACCTTTTGCTTCCGGGTCTCGTGTGCCTAGTATCACGAAAGGGTACGAGCCGTGTATCGTTTCACCATCGTGGCAAAGAACACGCGACATCGGCTGGATGTCGGCGATTTATGGTAATTGATTATCGGTGCCGGGACACGGTAATTAATCGACGTTCCGGCAAGTAGTATCCAGATGCTGGCGATGCTATAACCGTTAACGTTATTGGAACAGCGCTCACTTTCGAGCGGCCGGCCGTGTAATGGGACCGTGTGTACAAATGTCTGCGTTTACGTATCATTAATTATCTTGCATGCCGCACTTGCGATACCGTTGAAACCGTCGGATGGACGGTTAAATTTGCGTTTCGTTGTTAACGCCGGCTATACAACGCGAACATCGCGCGCCTCTGTCCTGGGACGTTATCCTGGGTCTCGGCGAATTTTTCGCGGTGACGAGCAGCCAGGATTGTTTTATGACCTCGTGTTGCTCGTGCTTCCTCTAAATTAGACGCGACGCGTATTTGCTTCCCTTTCTTAACCCTCGATCGAATCGATCAGACCACGTTGTACCATTTTTCACCCAAACCGTGCACGCGTTCCTTGCTTGACATATTGACGATAGGTAAAATGGGGATTATTTCTTTGAAGGGATGTGCAGGCTAGATCTGGGCCTGACCTCTCCACTTAATAAATTGGTCTCTTCTGTCTTTAGTAACACAGCTGATCCAAGAACAGTCAAATGTTCTTATCTTCTAGTTGTTCTTTCACATCCTATCGTTTATGACAGACTAATCTTCCTTGCTTGCTTAAGATAATCGTGGGTGGTGTCACGATAGATGATACATATACTGTATACTGACAAGTGGAATTGAGAAATCCTGGTTTTTCACACGATACACTGACAGACGAGTGGCTGCATGTCAATTTGGGTAGATTCGAGAGAAACTAATTTCTGATTATATCTTTTCTTCGTCTATATTGAAGAGGAGTACTTCAATGAGCTACTCGTTTGACAGAGTGATTGACTCATGAGATTGACAATCGATTAGGTTGAAGTAGTAGAGTTCTAATGGCACATAGAGATTCTGAAGGGTATATATCGATTATCTAAATTGATCAGATGCTTGTATCCACTAATTTGGAACCTGTAGGCAACGTGTGGTGAAGGAAACGAACGATATCTATCGATAGGAAAGATGCTTCTGTCTAGGTCCTGTCAACTGACTTCTTCTGAGCTCTCTGCAGTACTCAGCTTAAGCTTCTAACTATAAAGTATCCTTTGTTGCAAGCTAACTCAGGGTATCTTTTCGATAAAGAGGTTACTGATCTCTTCTATAGTCTCTTATTCTTTGGTCCAGACACTGTCATCCGTGATTTCCGAAATGTATCGTTGCTCAGAGTAACCTTATTTGTCAAACACCATGGAATGGCTGAAACGATCGGTTTTATGGAACGTTTTAAGCAATCGTCAATGTGCTAAGTGCCGAGAATAAGCTATAAGGGATCTTCACTGGGGAATTGCAACAGATAAGAAATGAAAATACCCAGGCTCAAGGTGTGGCGGAGAAAAGAGAGAATATGGGTCAGAATTGATCCTTCGCTGGTGAACTGTTCAGAGAAGGATATTGTAAAACGTATATATCTGTTGTAGCGTAGAAGTCTCACTCTGAGGAACCGGGTATGGTCCCGAAATCCTGACCTACCTCGCCGGATTACCAATCTTTTCCCTTAACCTTCAAACGATGACAATTTTTATTTCCCACCACTTCCTTTCCTCATCTCTCAAAACTCTGTCAACCCTTTGCTCTTCGAGAATTTTGTTATTCCATTAATCGACGATCCCCATACACTTTCATGGTGAAAAGTTTCACGAAAGCTGAAGTTTCGTTGCGAGAAGAGGAATCCAATAGCGTGTCATGACGTAAAATAATTTTTGAGTGTAAGAATTTTTAAGAGACTGTCAAATATTCCAAATATAAAATTGCATTAGAATTCCGTCTATCTCTTTCTGTCATATGGGTGCAAAATGATATTACACAGTGTCTCGCAGAATTTCAGTGATCAATTTTAACGAAACGAATAGAAAATCACTGTCCCAAACCAGTCACGAAATTTCTCTTCTTTTCCAAATAATGGATAGAACAGTGTATCTACCGGAATATCCCGACCAGTCCTCTTTTCTCATTCATGGACACTTTTTTCCCCACTTTCAGACCTCGAGTCGTCTACCGTGACCACTAGCGCCGCCATAATCTCGTTTCTTCTTACTTCTTCAGCTTTCTCACCCAAGAACTCGATCTTACTTTCCACAGCGTGCTCTTCCTTCTCGAATTCAAGATGCTGCAAATCCCAAAGGGAACTGCGGTGGCTTGGCCTGTGCACTTGCACTACACGTACAGATGTCTACAAACACACACACACGCGTCTACAGACGTACACACGCATGTCTAAAAACGTACACACACACGCGCGCGTCTACAACAGTACATGCACATGCCCGCAAACGTGCACGTATATAGACGCGAGTAGATGTACATATGCACGTGCACAAAGGGTCCTGAACGAGTGCGCACCATTTCCGCTTTAACGCATGTCTGACTCGTTCCGTCCTCAATCGCTTTTCACTTTTCAGACTGAAGATCGAATGCGAGAAGCTGGCCAGCGAGAAGACCGAGATGCAGAGGCATTACGTTATGGTAAGGCACTTTGTAAGTTCGTCTCCACGTCTTTTTATCTTCGTCGAATACGCTTATTCGCCGCAGTTGAAAAGATCACTCGGATCGTAAACACTGGCAGGGACCTCGATTGAATTGGATGAACATATGTGCACCGGCTCGTACCGGCTGCACTTGTCCCTTTGCGAATCGACCCAGTTGTCGAAACTCGAAATTCGGGTTTAATGCGTACCGTGTACCGCGAGTATAGAATACATTTTTAATCCGACCGGCTATTAGACCTAGTAGCCAGGTGTTTTGTAGTTAGTCTTGACTAATACATGGAACACGCGAGATATCCAATGAGAAATGACAGATTAAATGACAAATAAGATGAAAATATCCAAAAATTGGTGGATCATTAGTCTGTCACGTCTTTAGGCCACAGGATCAATCTCAATTCTCATTTTCACCGATGTTTTCTGACAGGATAATTTAAAACACGAAGTGGGAATCTGTCAAAAGTATTCAAGATAGCAACGATGATCCATGTCGACGAGAAAAGAAGCAAATTTTAAGCCTGATTTTGCAGAAAAGAGTATTTAACTACTTGAGCATCGAAGAGAGAGCTAGGCACGAACGTTTCCGAAGGACAGATCGATACATCTTCGAGCTACTTCTCGATAAATCATCTCCATCGACTCACCAGGTGTCTGAAAACGTTCTGCTAAAATTTCAACCTAATATTCCTACGATGAACGTAGATGGAGGTCTTTTCTTCAGTCACAGACGCCTGGTCTCCATCGGAACTAGGCCTCTGTCTCGACTCGCTATTCGATTCGTGTTTATAGAAAATCACTTTACAGATGGCCTAGCTATTTCCTAAACGAAAAGTAGCACGCTGAAGAACATTCGGTGTCGCCTAAAAGATCCGCCACCTCGCCCAGAGAAATTGCCTTCGCCGAAAGTTTCCTGTCAGTGCACGTGCTGCTATTGTCGAAATGGCCGACGGAGAAAGAGGGTAATCGTAGCCACGGAATCGGGTTTTATAAGCAACGAGGTTACAGGGCCATTATTGAACTCGGTAATCTTTGTCGCAACCCACCCTCGACACGGGGAACGGAGAAAAACGATCGATATTGTTCTCGCTTCATATTGCCGGCTCTTCGATTCAGTTCCCATCAGCGCGAAGGCAATTAGCTCAACCAACCGTACTAATCGTATCGTCATCGGTAAGGAGCTTAACTTGGACTTACCTATATTAAAGTGCGGCATTAACGTGGACCCAAAGTATTTGCCGCGGGAATCCATTTCATTCCACGCGTCTTTATTAAATATTTATCATCGAACAGGCCGGCAATTCGTCCTCCTATCTTGGACCTGGTTCATCCTTGTAGAGAACTCGCTATTAGGGGTGTGGACGAGTGCGATGAAATCTTCTTCCTCGGGGAACCGTGGGTTAGGTTGAAGTTTAACCCCTTGGCTACTGTGGGCGCATATACGCGCTCAGAAATTTTGCTTTTGTGACACTGAAGGCGCATATAAGCGCTCAACGCAGTTTGCTTTTGTGACACGGAGGGAGCATATAAGCGCTCAACACAGTTTGTTTTTCTGACACGGAGGGCGCATGTAAGCGCTCAACACAGTTTGCTTTTGTGACACGGAGGGCGCATATAACCGCTCAACGCAGTTTGCTTTTGTGACACGGAGGGCGCATATAAGCGCTCAACACAGTTTGATTTTGTGACACGGAGGGCGCATCTCTACCCAAAATTTTGCGTTTTCGGTGGACATTGTAAATGAATTCCTACCCGTGTGATACAACCGGTGCGTTTCAAAGTCTGCCGTAGTCAAAGGGTTAACACGTTAAACGTCACGTCGGTTCCTAGGGCCCGGCGGCTAGACTTTTCGTTCAGGCCTCGCCGGTCTTACGGTCGTACAGCCCGGAAGGGCCCGTATGACGGCTAATTGTGGCGTAAATGGAACGGCACGTGAAACCGTATGATGTTTAACGTGTTAACGAGAGAATTGATTCGTTTTTAAGCGTTGGAACGGAGCCTTTGTTATATGTAAAAGCTTGGAGGTTCATAGGATAGTCTGAAGATGGATCTGTAGGGGTCCTCCCCCACGGTTGTTGAAGTCAGCTGGGTCGCAAGTTTCCTCGTTGTGACGGTGGTGCTAGGAAAGGAAAGGAAAAGTAAAGGATGCGTTTCGTTCTGGGCCTGCTAGTGGAGTCATCAGTAAGGCCCTGCCGTAGACGTGGACACTATTGGAAGATCTAGAAGTTATATATGTATAGGAAGCGGAGGTTTTCCAAGGACTTGCGAGAAAGTCCTGGAGCCACCTTGAAGTCAGAATCCATCTAGCGGCGAGGGTGAGAATGATGGTCGCTACAGATCTGATCTAAGTAAGGATCCTGTGATGACTCTGTGGCAGAGCAATGGAATTTTTATTTCAGGGAACCGTGGGTCAGGTTATAGTTTAACAGGAGAACTGGTTAATTACTGTATCCGAGGAAGGATTCAGCTGAAAGAATGATGAAATTTGACAGAATTATGTGCGAAGTTCTCGTTTAATAGAAGAACTGCTACGGTGCTAACTGTTGTAGAGTTTATTAGAAGGGTTTGGAGTCATTGGAAATGAAAATTTTAATAGGGAATCTTAGCTTCTGATGTATGATACTACAGAATACTATATGAATAGGAAGATTTAGTAGGAAAGGTGCAGGAGAAGATTCGAAATTTGACAAAACCGTGGATGAAGTTCTAGTTTGACATAGTAATTAGTTTCCTTCTAAATGTTAGTACAGGTTACTATATGTAAAATCTTGGAAGTTCGTGAGACAATCCTTAGGAATAAATGTGGGTCTTCAGTATCGTTTCCCCTAGCTATCTCTAGATTTTGGGGAATATGTGCTCGCACTTCTGAGTTTCTCGTATCATTTCGAGTTTCCTACAAGAATTCCTTATTTTTCATAGGGTTTGAGATACGTAGCAGCTTCTGTGTTGACAATGACAAAAGTTTAACGACGATCTTAAATTACGGAATACGAGTATTGCAGCTGCGGCCTGGTACCCTTCAGATCAGGCCTCCGCGGTCATCTATGGCACTCGATCGTATCGGAAGAAGGTAGCCGTGTAAATTTTTCGCAGACTTTATTTTCAACCTTAAACTACATATACAAAAATTGGGATAAAAAATATCGCGACGGAAATGTCCGGAAAAAAATCTCGAATTAACCATCCGCAAAATGGAGCGGATCTTGATGGTGGACAGGATACAGCGCGGAGAAAAAATCTGCAAAGGATGAAAAAATATGGCGAGTAAAGGAAAATAATCAAGCTATCGCTCTAACCAAGGTTAACAAATTTAGAGCTTCGAACAAGTTCGAAAAAAAATCACGAAGTCGAAGATGATAGAATAAGGCGAATTGTTCCTAAGGAACAATTCTTTTGAAATTTTTCCGAACTTTTAGGGACACTACCATTACTGGGACACCCTGTATATTATATTATATACGATTTAACCCTTTGCACTCGACAATTTTTTGGCCAAAGAAGAAGAGGGATTCAAAGATTTTCTGTTACAAAGCTGACTATATTTTTCTGAGCAGTGAATAAGAAGTCGTATGATAATTAACACGTAGAATTATTTGATTTCGATACCTCGCACATCGTTACGTTATCTGAAATTTGACATATTAATGAATATCGAGCTTCGAAATTTTATCAAATGGTAACTCTCGAGCGCAAAGGGTTAACTGCCTTCGTTAACGATATCCTGCGAGACTTACAAGGAAATCGGGCGAATCGTGACGTAGTGGTAGGCGCAGTCCGCAGATGGTTCCCTATGTAAACATTCTCAGACTCGTGGGTAATTCTCGCAAATGTTTTCCTGCCTCAGTTGCGTGTTATTCTTCGTCGTGTTAGGACGAAGTGGCTCGAGTGACCGATTTTGCTGTTGACCGTGCCACGTGCCATCGGAACTTGGATGGTTCTGCAACGTGAGTTCGGTTAGTAACATTTATTCTACATCTTTACAATTCTTGCACTGTTCTAAGAAAAATTTGGGTCGGTGATAGAACGGTTCGTAACATATAGTGGAGGAATCGGTTCGAAGGTTCTCGTTGGGTACAGAGACTATGCCTGCGCGTTTACTTCGTCGAGGAATCTGGGGATTTACGTGGCTAGGGAAATAGTAATTTAGACGTGCTTCTGCAAGGTTTAAGAATTATTTTCATTGGACAGGCTCCAATGGTTAATGTTAATTTTCGCCGATGTCTTCTGCCTCGGTTACGTACTATTCTCGAAATGGCTCGACGCGTGACCGACTCTGTTGTTGATGGCACGCGCCATCGGAACTCGAATCGTAGGACAACGGGTCAGGTGTTTCGAAATTACACGAATTGTTTAGCACGGAGAACAGCAGGAGTATATATTCCTTTACGCTCGAGCGATGCCTCTCGTTGTCAGTCATCGTTTGTTTTAATACTTGGAAGCTCGAGCAACGAGTACAAGGCAATAACTAGATTAGAAACGAAATACTCGTGATTTTCCTTTTTTATTTTAATGTAAGTGGCATCGTTGAGCTTAAAACAATATAAGATTCAATATGTACTTAGTATACCATGTACAAGGATACTGTATATCAAGTGATCTATTTTTATAGAATCTTATAAATTATATCATAGAGATCTCCAAGTTCCTAAGGAGTCTATATACATACTGCATAATATCTGTATGTATAGATTCACTGTATACACAGTATACCGTATACCGAGTGATTTATTATTATAAAATTTTAGAAATTATATCAGAGATTCCTAAGTCCCCATAGAGTCTATACATACTGTATACATATACATACAAAGGTTCACTATATACGCAGTATACTGTATCTCGAATAATTTGTTATTATAAAATCTTAAAAATTATATCAGAGATCCCTAAGTTCCAACAGAGTCTATATACATACTGTATACATGTACATACAGAGATCCACTATATACATATATATATGTATGTGTCGTGCATCATAGATCT